CCCGGTGGGCGCCGGGCTGGACGCGGAGCAGCGCACTGTGTTCGCCTTCGTGCTCTGCCTGCTCGTGGTGCTGGTGCTGCTGATGGTGCGCTGCGTGCGCATCCTGCTGGACCCCTACAGCCGCATGCCCGCCTCGTCCTGGACCGACCACAAGGAGGCGCTCGAGCGCGGGCAGTTCGACTACGCGCTGGTGTGAGGGGCGAAGTGGGAGCGGGCCCATCCCAACTCCCTCGACCGCACCCTTCCCTACCCCAGCCCGGCCGGAGCCCCACCTCGTGCCTTTGTCCGTCCCATCCCTTCCTCTGCGCACTGGCACTCGACCCCGACTCTGCATCGGGCGGGAGGGGGACCCCGGCACTGACTTCCACCTTCCCCCGCTTGTGAGTGGCTCTGCTATTGTTCGTGCCGGGTATGAGTGTCGCGCATCCTTTCTTTGGGAGTGGGGACCCCCCCTCCCGTCCCCATCCCTTTCCTCCTCCCCACTTTCTGGCCACATCCGGTGTCACCATAAGTGAGTGTTGAGGTCCCCTCTGCGCCCTGCGGAGCAGGACGCCACATCCCCATGATGCCCTGCACATCCTGCCCGAGACCCAGACCCCTAAGACCCACCATGGCTACTGCGCCCCGGGACGCCCGGCGCCTTGGTTCCCCAGGTCCGCACGCCCTTCCCCGAGCGCACCTCTGCTTCCATGGGCCCCTGCCGCCTCCCCCCGCTCTCCTCTCGCCCCTGCTCCGCCTCTTCACTTCGCCCTGCCTCAGCGATGATGATGGTGGTGATAATAAAGGCTGTTATTGAGCGCTTACTGTATGCATGCAGTGTATGCATGCAGTGTCCTGAGTTAGCACCTCCTGTTCATTGCAGGCTTCCTCTTTGGGATAGGAAAAAAAGAGCAGGCCCCGTGCGTGTCCCCCATTTTACAGGCCAGGGCCCTGAGGTCCAGGCAGCTATAGTGACTTGCCCTTGGCCGCGCGGATTGTGTTTCGTTGGAAGTGGAACGCAGGCCTGGGTTCCGCCTGCTTCTGACTGCTGCCCAGGTGGTCCACACCGGCATCCCAGTTGGCCGGGGTGCACAAGCCCACTCCGCCACTCCTTTCCTGTGATCCGGGGAGGTGCTGCGGCTGGGGGGTGCAGGTTTGCACATTGACTCTGGGAGCTGCCCCTGCACCCCGGCACGCCTGCCCCGTCCTCTCGTGCGCCTTGGCACCTTGGGGCTGGCACCGCGCCGCTCGAGCAGTGTGGGCTGGCTCCACTCCACAGCCGGCCCAGGAGATGTGTTATGTGTCCCGGAGGAGCCGTGCGCAGCGTGTGGGGAGAAATGAGCGCTTCTATAAAAGGAAAGCTGTGTGAAGGCGCTGGCTGGGAAACCGAATTTACCCTCAGATAGCTAGTTAGACTTGGGGGAAGGTGCGCCGTGGGGCCACCCTGTTCCTCGAGAACCCACAGGGTGGGTGGAGCTGGTGCCAGGAAGCCTGGTGGCACCCCCAGGAATGAGCGGCTTGGGGACCCACCGGGTCTCGGCCCCCTCCTCCACTTCCCTCTGCTCCCCAGCTCTGCCTTCGCTGTCACTTCTAGGGGTGTTCCCTTCCCACCTCACCCTCCTCTGAGCCTGGCTCTGGCCTCTCCCAGCTGGCTGCCTGCCTTCTCTGCTGGCTCCTACCTTCCTTGCCCCGCTTGAAAACCTGCCTCCGACACCTGTCCCCGAGAGCCGGTGCCCAGCTGTCCCCTTCCCATCCAGGCTTGTCAAAGAGCCACCTCTACCCGGCCACCAATAGGATGTTTGTAGACAAACCGAGGTCACTGCAGGCAGTGCTTTTGCTTCCGTGACCCCAAGTTGTGCCACTGCAGGAACCCCCAGTTCCAATCCTTAAATCATGGCAGAAGAAGGAAAGCAGGTAGACAAGCACTTTATTCCAGGACACAGGACCCTGGGTGAGGGATGAGGAGTGGGGTGTCGCCATCAGCTGCAGGGGGTGGGGGATACTGGGCCTGGGGGTACAGGAAGTGGTGGAGGAGGAAAATAAGGGAAGCCTAGGCAGGGGAAGGCAGGGAGAGCGGTGGGGATGTGGTGGGGCCAGCCCTGCCCCATCCCCAAAGGCAGAGACTCACAGTGGGGCTAGGGGAGCCAGCCTGCTTGTAGTGCACGGTCCTGGGATTCCATGTGCTAACCCCCGTGTACGCAGCTTCGATTCTCCGCTGTGACTGAGTTGGGTCAGGGACCTTCAGGACAGTCCAGTGGACTGATCCAGGCTGAGAGGCCCGTGTATCTGCTGGCTGCTGTGCCCTCACCTTGCCAGGGAGGCCTCCCGGCCCAGGAGCTCCAGGGGCACCAGAAATGGGTTCAGAGGGCAGATGCCGGCTGCTCGCCAGGCTGATCTCAGCTCTGGGGCTCCAGGGGGGACCTGGCCAGGCTCCTCCAGCACCCTGGAACCAGTCCCCTCATCGTCAGCTCTGGGCCCGGGGCTCACACCCGAGGGGCTGGGCTCTGGGGCCGTGAGGTGGACATAGGTTTTGGTCATGTGCTCAGCCAGGGCTGCGCAGGGCAGGTGAGGAAGCTCCTTAGGGAGCGACAGGAGCAGGTCAAGGACCACAGCTGACTCTGGTGATGGGGGAAAGGGGAGGAGTGAGTGAAGGACAGTGCCTGCCACCTGGCACCTTTCACCCCACACCCCACGCCCTCCGCACTCCTCACCAGCTGCTGAGAGCTCTGGGCCGTGGCCACTCCGGGAGGAGAAAGACAGGTACTTGTAGATCTTCTCGAAGTCCACTGTGAGGTCTGCTTCAGGGGAGGGGCCGGCCAGAGACTCGGCAGGCGCTTCAGCGGCAGAGCTGGGGGCATCAGGGCCGGGGCCAACGGGCACAGAGGCGGGGCCAGG